GCGGCTTGTGACCGGAGATTGACGCAACAAATACTTATTTTAAAAGCAATTACTGCCACTACATGCATGTGCATACATAAAAAAGCTTGCATTTTGAGATACGAGTCTGTGGTAGTGTAGATCACTCAAGTCAGTCATACCTTTTGTTTGTACTCTATGGCACCACCAGGTTTCTTTTCAAACACATATTGAACAAACTGAAATGAGTAAATGACAAGACAATATTCAACAAAAATGAAATCCGCTACAATTCATAAGACTATTACTAATTATAGTTGTCATGGGGGCAATCCACAAAAAGGTCAAACATTTTACACATCCACTTACCAGTTTGGCAGCTTAATAGTCCTCAAATTCAGTGGTAGAATTGAGATTAAAAGAAATTGGCCAACTTCGTCCATGTATCGCAGTCAGATTCTCCTTTAACCTGGTTTGTCCTCATCTTGCTGTGACGATAATCTAGTGACTTTGGAAGAGTCAGTTTTCCCATGCTGCGCTCCCAAAATCACCTTGATTCTGCAGGTGTCGAACCAGCCATAGCAGTCTGAGAAGAGACCACAAGCAATTAGTAAAGTTCAACTATGTGGAAATAGCCTCTAGGAGTACCACTGGCCAATTTCTATTTGGTCGGTCTACTTCACCAAAATGGAAGAATGAGGGAGAAATAGTTGAACTGTTGCATTTGAATGCATTAGTTTTAGCTAAGGCATAGTGTGCATATTAAATCATGAGAAGAGTTGTTTAATTGTAGCAAAGACATTTGTAACCCCCGGTAGCACAGGGTGATTTATTTCCTCATACAATTCATTATTAAACAAGCACGGATCAACAGGTGACCCAACAGGTGTCTCTAGGAATTAAACAATAACCAAATGGGCTTCAAAACAAATTGTGTTACTGGTGACTAGGCTGCAGCGGGGGACAGGGCCCTCACCGGCTTAGAGGCCACACACAAACCCATCAAAATTCACCATTACTGAAAAAAAAAAATACCAAAACTACTGAGAATATGGAGAGCAGGTGAGGGGCCCAGTCACCAGACTCACCACCATCTGGGCAGCCATGCGGTTGAGCCTCAACACCTAAAAAGAACAAAATTTAACAAAAAGTAATTTTCCGGATTCTAAGGTAACCAAACAAATACTACTAAAATAAAGAAAGACAAAACAGTATAAAGCAAAACTGCAGTGGCTTCCCATAACAGCCTGGACTGGAGGGAGAATAGAAACACTTACCCACTTACTGGATTCTCAAGCCAAACTCCAACAAAGAAAGGGACAATCACACTGATGCAGCTTCATCATGTGCAGCTTTTATACCCTGTCTAATGGGTAAACCAGGAAGTAGGCGGTACCAAGGCCTTCCTGAACCTACAGTAGCTTAGGAGGGACATTTCCTCACTGGCTACACATTTCCAAAAAGATTATTCATTACTTAAATCATTCATCTATAATCTTACAGGCTGAGCTTCTTGACAACAAAGATGAACTTGTCTTGCAGTATTACCATTTAGATCATTTCGGCAAACTCTCGCAGTGCAACCCAATAAGCCATGGATCAAAATCATCCCACACTTGTAGTTTACTCCATTATATATCCCACTTTTGGCCAAGCTCGCCAGTGGCCATAGTTGAAGACTTTTGTTTTACAGTATTTGAGATCTCTTTGTTAAGAACATACATTTAAACAGTGGAAACATTTGTCACTTCCAATGGAGGTCGGGTAAAGCTACATGGGTGTAAATGATGTGCACTTGCACTTGCAATCTGAAACTGATGTCTCTCAGAAAGGGAAAGGTGCACATTTGCAGAATGCAGAATTTGCAGCAAATACTTTAAAATTGAAATATATTGACATTAATTACTATTCTTTTGGTGGAGTGTATATTACACTGGTTCCGCTACATTTGAGTGGGTCCCATAGTAAACCTCTTTCCTTCAGGCACAAGAATGTGGCTCTGTATCACCAATTGGTTTTCTAACACGGTTTGTCTCACAGATTGCGACACAGACAGAACCAATTGAATAGTTAAACTCCTGCTCCAAAAGGTTATTTTGCACAAAACTGTATTTACTAAATCTGGGTCTTTGTTTCTGTTCAGGAGTCCTTGGGGGTGGCAGCAACGTGGCTACCGGACAGTGGTGGGGCTGGTGACTGGGCCTCTCACTTGCTCCTTGCATTTTTCAGTTGTGCGTTTGACAGTATTTTCTCTTGTTTTACGCATTGTTCTTAGTTTCATGCTTATGGTTTTGATTCATATTGTTTGGTGTGTGCGGAGCAGTGGCGCCAGTTACGGTCCTGTCCCAGAGCCCGTTTTCCCCCTCCCTTCTTGGCCCACTACAGCCAAGCTGTTTTAATTGGAATTGTTTTAATAAATTAGTTTCGTATCACTGATATTTTAAGACCAATATTAAAATAAATGTATTACTCTCGGGGAATACTTTGCCTTGGTTTGTCTGCCACACCCCTGTGGTAGCGGTGGTCGCAATAACAATATTTCTTCAATAATTAAATGTTGACCTGGCTGTGTAAAAGCCTTAAATCCTGCGAGGAAACTGAAATGAAACCCTTAATATCTACAGACGCACAATAAATGACAGAAGATATTTATTACATCAATCTGTCTTAATCACCTGTCCACTGAAGCTTTTTGATTATTCAGATAACATATGATAATAGTAATAATAGGTGATTATGATGCTGGAATGCAAAGTGTCAAGACTACCTGTTACTAAAAGAAGCTGCATTAGACATTTCTGCGTGATCTTTTTATTACAACTGGTTTCAAATCTGCTTCTTTCTCACACATTTAGTCATGACTGCTCCGTTCTTCACAAGCTAGTTTTATAATTCATTGACTAAACGTTACCCATTTTAGGTGTACTGATACACAATTACAATTATTAGAAAGATTAAATGTGGATAACTGCTCTCCTCCTCAAAATGCAGGTAATCTTTATCTTCATATATATATATATAAAATTATATATAAATATTGATGATCCAATAAATATTACTATAAAGTTCAACAGCAGCCCAATCTAAAGCCTCAAATATGAAATGCAATCTGCACCTTTCTTAAATCAGACGCATTGCAGGACTCCTATATTAGACTTTAGTTTTATTCTTGTAAACTGACTGGACATATTTAATAGAAAAATTGGTAATAAAAAAAATAAATAAAAAAAAACGTCCAGCAGATGGAGCCACATACATTTTCACTTTGGCACAATCCCTCTACATTCCATTTCATTTAGCTGATGCTTTTATCCAAACTGCATTCAGAGGGAACAGACCCAGAACAACAAGAATTACGAGATTAGGATTTTAGAATGGATGCTAATGTTAAATTGTCACTCTATTTAATTCTAGTTTTTTATAATTTAAGACTAACAAATTGTAGCACTTAAATTGTACTTGTAACGTCACTCATCTATAGCAAATTGTAAATTGGCTTATTTGAGGAAATTGCACTTTCTTGTTTCTTGCTCTCCTGAGTTTGTACCCTATGGTTGAATGCACTTATTGTACGTCGCTTTGGATAAAAGCGTCAGCTAAATGACATGTAATGTAATGTAATGTACCTCCAATTTGACAACGACCATGTTAATAGACATCCGCCATTTTACAACAAGTTTAGCATTCAAATTGTTTTAACATACGTATTCTATGCACATTCTATGGTCTCAGGTTCCAACTGCACCATATTTTCATTAAATAAATATATAATTTTTTCCAGCGTAGGAGAGCAGTGTAGGAAATACAGGCATGTGATATATGTTGTATTTCTTTGTCTGTTGGCTCTTGTTAGTGTGGCAAAGTGGCTCCGCTCACTTCCATCTCCATGTTTTTGGGGTGTTCTAAATCAGCTGGCTTTCCATCTGGGCTCCACCCTCCCACTGTGTGTCACCAAGCTGTGATTAATTATCCTGTCAGGTTGATCACTGGGTGGCGCTGCTGAGACTATATGAATGAAAAGCCCATGCACTTCAGGTGTGTCTCCCTACCTCTTCTCGGGGGTAAACTTTGGCGTCGGCAGTGTGACTGGTCTGGCGTGGCTGTTGCAGGTAAAGTGAAGCTTTCTGAACCAGTGAAGCTTTCCAGCCAATTGTATCGGAAAAAGGTTCATTCATTCAATGCATCGCAAACTCTATGATGACCTCTGCTGTTGAAAACTTGTAGTGCAAATGTATCGAATAGCCTATCCGGAATATTTTGGTCCAATCTCTGATTATGAAAAGTTGAACCAATAAATCATCTAATAAATACATGGATTCCTATATGAATAAAACTATTGTTTTTCAGGATTGAATTGTGTCCTTGTTTGTGTATTTCAATTCTCTGTACATTGGAAAGAAGTGGAACAAACACTTATCTATGTCTTTCTGCACCTTTATGGATATATTTGTGATCATACTAGCAGAAGAATTAATAGAAGATATATATATATATATATATATGACTTATATGTAAGCAATATCATTTAAAATACCAGCAAGTGCTTCCTACTGCATGTGCAGTTCATGGCAGTTACAGGGACTTGTTTGAATGTGGAATGTGGAATGTGATTTGCAGAGGAAAGTGGGGCAGTGATTGTGCTTTTGGACAGGTTTCTTATGACAGGATATTGAGGTGCTTGTGGACACATGGGATGGGGCATGAAATTCTAATTGATTTTTATTGAGAAACACACTTTTCTCCACAGTATTGGGGTTGAGTCGGTTTCTTAGATACTGTTTTTCCCAGCTTTAGAAAAAACCCGCTCACATGTTTGATTCAGCCAAATATCTGGTGGTCTCCACAATAAAAATAAACATCCATACTTTGACTGTATCAAACCGACAAGCCCGAACCCTGTTTCGAGCCGATTTGAATCAAATCGAAGCGGTCACGTGACTGTGCGCAGGAACGAAGCTTCGGACGTCACTGATCACATGATCAGCAGCGAACGAACCGAGCACCGATACATTTGCTTCGCCTTGCACTGGTTCATAATTCGACACAAGCTTCGAGTGTCGGAGGTAACAACACTAGGGCCCAGCGAGGCTCAACTTGTTATGTTGTGGCGGTTTTAGACTTTTAGGTAAGTTTCGGGCAATGTTGTTTTATATTAAGGCATTGGTAGCTGATGTGCTCTGTGTTTGCTATAGTCAGCTACTTGTCTGGCTGGAGGTTGCGGCCGAGGGAGCGTGGCTGCCCCATTGTGTGCGTGGCATTCTATGTGCTGCACGGAGCGTCTTTTGTGTCTCCCCATTCTGCGTCCTCGACGGCGCCTGCCTGTCTGCCGACTGAGGTTGGAGGCGGAAGCGTGGCCTTCAAGCCGGTGCAGATCCCCTTAGGCGTAGCATCCAATTCCTACGGTAGGCTGTCTCATCTGTGCTGCTTAGATGTACATGGGTCTCGTCCAGCTGTTTCATAGATGCCTCTGTTTTGCATTTGATTTGCAGCTAAAGCGGCGTCGTTGGGGTGCACCACCCTGGCGCAGGAGCATTGAAGCTTCTACGTCCCGCCAGTGGCTCACCTGCTGAAGTGGGCTTCTAAACAGTGCGGGACCCCCCGACTGCTGTTCTGTCTGGGCTGTTTTCTGTATAGTGATTTAATCATTCATTTCTTTTTGTGTGTGTGTGTGTGTGTGTGGGCCTCCTGGCCGGTATTACGTTACTAATGGTTGCTATTTTGATGAACAGGAGCTGTTGGTGCCACTGGTAGGAGTGACTAGCTGATCCCGGTGGTGGTGGTTCTCTTCATTTTTTCCGTTGTAGTGCACCTCGGTGTCGATAGTTGGTGTGTGGTTTGTTTATGTGTGGTGGAACATTAGGCCCCTTCCCCCTCAGCGAGTCAACTCTGCCAGTAAGCCCTCAGTCCCAGCCCCCTTTTTGTACATTGCATTCCATGGTAACCTGAATGACTAAGAACCGGAAAAAGATTTTATTGAACTTTGTGATCGTGACTGTATTTTAAGAAAATAAATTGATATTAAAATAAACTTGTATAATTTTGTTTATAGAATCACGTCCATTGCCTGTGTTGTCCGAACCTGTGTCCTGTCATTGACCATAGACTGGTGGTCCTTGTTAAATCCTGGGGTGAAATTCCCTTGGTGGCGTTGTTGGCTTTTAATAGTAAATACAGATCTCCCTCTTAGCATTGCCACATTAGCAACAAAAGAAAATCCTGCTTGGACAACCTGCACTCTTTCTGTATGAAAAGAACGAATCAGTGGCCCAGTGATTGTGAGAAAAAAGACAAATGATGCCCCAAGAGTCCTGCAGCGCGTTTACAGCGTTTGAGTGTGAACGTAGCATTAGACTGTAAACTGTAACTGTCGAACCGTCCTTTTTACTCCTGGCTGCTGCTGAAGATGGACGTTTCAGAGAACAACAATCCAACACTAGCGGTGAGTTATTGGCATTGGTTATATAACGAAAACCGTGGGTTTGTGTTTTAATCAAAGGAAAAATTTGCAGATATTCAATTACGTGTGCGCAGTTGAGTGGTGCCTGGCTGAACTCCACTGCACACTGGGAGGTCAGTGCCTGCATCATGGCTAATAGGCAGGGAGCTCCGATATGGAGGGAAGCGCTGTACACAGTGATGAAACAGAACTCGCTGGGCATGTGAATGACATTAACATTAGATCTTGTAAAATAGTTTCCTAGCATTATCTGGCTCATATTAAGGTAGCTTAATGAGTTGTTCTGTTGCGTTCACACCAAAAGTGAAGCGAATTTTCGTCACGCTTTACCCGCCCGACTGGTTCTAGTTATTTTGCTTCATTTGTATCCTGTTTTATTCACGCCGGAAAGGTGGCGTGGCTTATCTGTTACTTGTATAATTTCCGCTATCCACCATGGAAATAAATAAGCACTATTTCTGCTCGTTTTTTTGTGTGAATTACAGCGTAACTCACTAAACTACGACTGCAGAAGGATCGGGCATTTAGGAGCGGGGACAAAGACTTGACAGAGTCAAAATCCAAGTTCAGCAAGGCGGTGGGAGATGCTAAACGACTGTACTCTGAAAGAAGTTCTCGGCAAGTGACTCTGCTTCGGTTTGGAGAGGCTTTAAATACCTCACAAACTACAAGTCAAAAACCCCTCACTCCATGAATGACCTTCGCCTGGCAGACAAGCTGAACGGGTTCTACTGCAGATTTGATGGTCAATGTCCTGATTCCATCCCCCACAGCTGTTGTGGTGGATCTAAATAGGTTGTGTCTCTTGTTTGGACACAACTAACTTACAGGCGTTCAGTCTCAGTTGTGTGTGTGTGTCTCTCCGGTGAGCGGCAGTTTCATGAAGTTTATTAACCATTTGGCAGCAGGACGGCTCTGGCGAAAAAGCGATTTATTTGCTTCGTTCCTTTTGCTTTTTCGCGTCCTTCGCGCCCTCCCAGCCGTCCGTTAAAAAGTTGCTTCCCCCACGACCAGTCGCGTCTGCATCGACTTTGCATGGAATCTACTCACGTGAATAATTCTCTTCGCTTTTGGTATGAATGTAGCATTAGTGTTGAGGAAATGAGTCTGTTAGCTAATGTTGGTTAGCTAGCTAACATTAGCTTCTTCATTAACTGGATGCTTAGATTATGTTCTTGCCATCATAATTATGTGATGGAAAGTTGGTTCACCATGAACCATTACATGTTTCTAAAAAGTAACAATTTGTTGACAAGTAGCAGGTCAATAGATTTTCTCACTAGTGTCGAAAGAAATCTTTTGTAACATGTCATGAGATTTGTTATGAGCTATTATCAACATTTAACACTTCTCTAACAGGTCAATGGATTTGTTGTGAACAGGTTGATATCACCTTAGAGTTCGTAACCATAATTTTAGATTTCTGTCAACATACTGCAAATACACACTAACTGGACTACAGTTTATTAATACATGAAGCACAGGCAAACACTGGTTCAACAAACAGCGGGTCTAAAAGACTGTGCTTCTCAGATTAAATGCTCATGATTCAGATAATTTCAGCTACAACACTTATAGGAAAACACAGTACCAGATCAACACTGTTTAGACTTGAACGTTTACAACATTCTGAGCCGATGAACATCAACAAACAAAAAGGTAAATCACTAAATTAATCTGTAAAAACAACTGTGATGAATACAAAACACAAGCTATAACATTCAGTCCAGGACAATAAAAACGGTTAGGAATAATGAATCCAAATCTACATAATCACACAGCTTAATCAAAGGATGGGCCAATATTTCAATAATTAAGGAACTTCTACAGTAATAATTATTTGGGAAGTCATAACTTATTTTTTCTGTTCTTCTATTCTTTCAAAGATCATAATTTTCTTAATCAGCATCATGAGACATGCATGAGCTACGGTTTGTCTGCTCTGCCAACTCATTCATTCCTCGGGCTCTGCCTTTTCTAGGCTTTGTTCTTGTGGACACAGTCCTGTACATTCATCCATTCATATATTTCACTGCTTATAACTGATGCATCCAATTACATTGGTTTATTTAGGGTTGTTAAAAATAAATTGCTGCTTCTTTGTTTGTCTCCCTGCTTTTCCTGCCCTGATTTGGGCTGTGACAATACAGTTGAGGGTAAATTGTGCTTTTGGAAGGAAAGATTCTAACTGAATAAGGTTACAACCTGAATTTGTTTGTCTTTAATCTTTATATTTTCTTTGGTACATGAACATATATTTGGTTTTATTTTATCAGTCCCAACTGTTCATGTATTTATTTTCCTGATGGGATACAATATCCAGATGATGAATGGTGCCCATTCTATATATTATTTCAAGATTAAAGCACAGGAGTTCCACATGAAATATAATAACCGTGGAGGAAATATAAGTTGCTGAGCTGAGCAGGGATAGATTTTATCATGAAAAGGAACTGTACAAAGATAATTCATCACATCAATCTTTTCTCAGATTTAGGTGAAATACAATCACCTTTAAGACAATATTGTTCTTTCAATCTTGCTATCTCAAAATTGGGAGATATAAATCTCAGATATTATTACGTTTTACAATAACGCATTTTGCTGGATTAAAAAGGGTGAAATGTTCTAATTATTTCCCCAAACTTGTGATTTATTAATACATTTTCCATAAAACATGGATCAAAATCTGTTACCTGAATAAACCCTGAACATTTCTAGATTAAAGTAATTATCATCCAAATCCTGTTAATTGCAGATAACCTATATTCACCTTTAATTTTACTTATCAAATTAATCATTTAATGAATTAAAATGGTAATTAAAAAGTTTATTAAATTTAACGTTTCATATTTTAGTTGTCACTATGGAATTCTGTCTGCTACCAGGAACAATCTCCTGGAGAAAAAGCAGTTTGCCAGGTTAGCGTCTTAGCTGCTGGCCACAAGACCACTGCGACCTTAACGACACTAAATTGAAGAAGCTTTAACTGGATTCAACTTGAAGTTCCGTTTTCAGAGCTGCTCTCCTCCAGGAAAGTTCTTTTAATAACATCCACGTTGTACAATATCAATATATCAACACTTAACTTATCAAATGTAATTTTTAACTCCATCAACTTGTTAGTCAACGAATCACCCTTAATTAACTAGGTCAGAAAAAACTGACTTGGAGAAGATTGAGACAAGGAAATAAGCACTTAATATCTGTTAAGGTGGAATGGCTGTTAAGGTAAGAGGGCTGTCAAGGTGGAATGACCGTTACAGTGAAACGGCTGCCACGGTGGAACAGCTTTTAAGGTGAAACGGCAGTTACAGTGGAACAGCTGTACAGGTTGAACGGCTGTTCAGGTGGAAAATCGTAGAAACAAGGAGTCTGGTTCCAGTAAAGGCAGAGTGGTGAGAGCAGGAGAGTTCAAAAAGTCCACAGAAAAGGAAACTCATCGGCTCTTGTCTGCCACCTTCGGAGACAGGAATTTATACACTTTTATTAATACAGCATGATGTAAACAAAGCTCTGTTCCTTCAACAGAACATGCTGAACATATAAACTAACGTCAAGAAGCATAACTGCCATATCTTAAACAGATTTTTAAAAAACAGGTAGCATTTAAATTGAAGTAATAATAACAGAGACCCTCTCTAATCTAGTTCCACTACCCGGGTAACTATCGATCATGTAAATAATCCTGTAATTAAAAAGCTCTTTTATTTTAATTTCAATAGTACGTGTGGCCATATGCCTGGATGTTTAACCATTTTTTTGCACTTCACAGACTGATGTAGCATACAAATAGTTTGATTGATTTTAGTGCCACGCCATGTGTAGATGACAGGTTTGCTTCTTTTTGGTGATTAACGTGGTTGCTGTGGTTGTGACTCACCTGTAGCTTACTTGATTTGGCTCTGATGGGGTTGTTGTTGGGGTGGTTGGTGTGGGGAATGGTGACGTGGATTAGACCTCACCCCCCCTCCTCGAATGGTCGGTCTGATGGATGGAGAGGCGGATGGGTGCTGATGATGCTGATGTCCAGCTCTGATTGGCTTGGCTAAAGGAAGACAGGTGAAAGGTGACTTTCAGACAGGTACCAGATTCAGTCCCTGACCTATTAATAAGTTGATGGATTCTCCTCAGAAAATCTGAACTCATCTGGGAAACAACACCATTAAAAACCTGAAAAACGTTCAGAGGATGAATCCTTGACATTTAAAAACCATTAATCTAGCACTCCCAACAAGTTTGTTCTGAAGATAACTCATTCGTAGGTTCAGTTAGTTGTGGGCTTCAACAAACATTTACTCACCGATCTGTGCAGAGTGCACTCTCCTGGAGACATTCTTGGTCCGAACAGCCTCTTTGATCCGGTCCACTTCCTGTTGATAGCGTTTACGGTCCCTCACAATCGACTCCTTGGCTTCTCTCAGGGCAGCTTCCATAACTTTTACTCGTTCCGCTGATGCCCGCAGACGCTTCTCTAGCTTAGGTAACTCGCAGCGAAGGTCTGCATTGTCCCGTACAAGCTGAAGGATGGGATAGGTTTAAATTTACTAACTCATTTGGGCGTATGCGGCATCTCTATCAAACACCAGGCTGGAATTACAGTTTATATTGTTTCGTCGGATTTCTAAAAATAATTTTTTCAGTATAGGGAAACTTCCTCACTTATTAGAAAAAATGTTTTTGTCTTGAATTTTGAGGAATCGTAGATTTAAGGATCCACTGTTTAAAAATGGATTGGTTGTGTGTGTGATAGAAAATCTGGACCCATTGTCATTGTCAACTCTATTGGGTCAAGATATATAGTTAGCAATAGCGACCAAGGTGAAGAGGTCTGAAAGCTACCTATGGTGTAATAGCTTACCTGTTTGTGGACCTTGCTGAGCTGCTCCAGGTTATTTTCTAAGAAAATAATCCTTTGTCTCTGAGCCATACTACCGCCAGCCTCGTCGCAATCATTCTCTGAACTCTGAACAGGAAACAGAAAAAAATCAAAGCTCAAATCTCATGTTCATGTTCGCCACTTGACACACACCCATCAAACATCCCGGTCTTGAAGTTTAACTTCCTAAATTTGAGAATATGATCATCCATCTGATCTATGTCCGCCCCAGCAGTAATGTGGCACGCCCATCTTCTTCCCTCACTCCTGCTATGCCGCTCTCTTCTATCATGGCATCCATGGCTAAAAAACACAAGAGGTAAAGCTCTAGTGGCTAACTGAACAATAATGCAACGTGTCTTTGACAACGAGTTTATAGTTCAGGCTCGTTCAGGTTTATAGTTTTATTCATGTCCCAGTAATGCACATTACTGTGCTTCTTCCTTAAAAGCTCTGTGATTTCTCTCCTCACAGATAATGTTCATATGTTTTACAGGTTTTGTTATTGGCAGATTTAACACTTAGTATTACAGACAGACAGTTTTTTTTACGTTCTTGACTCGAGTGCTGAGGTCTTGGATGAAGACTTTACGGAGGGTGGTCAGCGTCTGCAGCTCTTTGGCCTATTGGATGAAAAACATTAACTCAGCTTATCACAGATGTTCCACTTCTCCAGTCAAGATTTACTAAATATATTTTGAAGTAAATGATAATCCACCTACCACAGTCTCCTCTAGACCCTTCAGGTCCTCTTTGGCTTGTTCTCTTTTCTCATTCAGGAACCTTAAACATAGTTCAACAACTGGTATGTGGTAGAAAACTAACTGATGTTCATCCAAAAGCAGCAGAGATGCTTGTTGAGTCTAAATAAGCACAAGTGGACAAACTTACAGTAGTTTTTGAAGTTTCTGGCCTTTGTTCTGATCCTCGGCTTTAAGTTTGTCAAAATCAGACCGAAGCTTCTGGTTCTCCAGCTGCAATGCCTGATTCACACTAAATTAATACATAAAGCACATTTATTCATACTTTAGTACTGCCACCACATTTACACAGCCTCAAAAGTTAAAAGTAAATTTAAAATCATTAATTAATCAATGTAAAAGAACAACAAAAATGAGGATGAAAAGTTTTTGTCAATTAAAAACAAAAATAAAATAAGTAAAGAGAAGGAAAAGTTTTGACATAATAATGAAGTGCAAAAATCAATGCTGCTATACACATGTGTTTAAAAAAGAGAGAAAATTAAAATACAATTGTTTTACTTTAATTAAAATCACATCAGCTGCTGATCATGGGTTAAAACGGTTATGATAATCAGTCACTGCCACTTATTATAATCAATAACTTACTCTTTGAGTTGGTCAACATTTTTATGCTTCTGCTCGATCTCGTCACGTAGGCCACTCAACTGTTTGTGATGAACTTCTCTGTGGTTCTCCATCTGTTCCTCCAGAGTTCTCTACAGAAAGAAGCAAAGTTAAGTTACAGATTGCTTCAAAAGATACTGTCAGTAGAAAAGCAAATTTTGAAATCTCTGAAGGCTACCAAGCTCTAACAGCGATAGAAGGCCAGAAAACTCACACTGACATAAATACATGTTTTTGCATTTCATTAATAAAATGTTATTTTCATGAGGAGCAAAGTGGTGTAGTGGTAAACACTGTTTCATCTCAGCCAGAGGGTTTTCTCCAGTTTCTTCGGCTTCCTCCCACCGTCCATAAACATGCAGCTTGGGTTAAATGAGGACTCTAAACTTAAGGCCTGGGTGTGAGTGTACATGGTTGCTTGTCTCCCTGTGTCATTTCTGTGAACGCTTGGCAAACTTCTCCTTATGTCATCTATATGCCGTGTATAGAATAGAGCTCTTCAGTTATAAATGAATGTTCAATCAATCAATATTCATCAGTAGATCATTATGTTGAGTTCAACGTCTGAATAGGCCCCTTGTAGAAAATGAGTCTTTTAAATAAAATGTTGCCTGTAACATAACATTTGTATCATTGTAAAGTCATATTTTTGTTTTGATCAGGAAAACATTGATGATGATTGATACCTTCATCTCAACAGCATCTTTCAGTCTGCTCATATGTTCTTTCTCTTTGTCCATCACCGTCACTTCGTGCATTTGACCTGACACACAGACGGGTAATGTGAACAGACATGCAATAAGTGAGCAGTGTTTCCTCTAATGATGGAAATGTTGTCTAACCTTGAGCGTTGAGTTTGGCGACCTCCTCCACCAGACCGTCCTGACTCTCTTCCAGCTTCCTCTTCTTCTGCTCCATCCTGTGCAGGTCGTCTGTCAGAGACGCAATCTTCGCCCGGAGCTGTACCAAGCACAAATAACATGTATTCGGAGTAATGGTAATCTCAATATATTGTAATATATTATAATGCATTAATTTATCCATTAAAAGGCTAAACTCCTGAATGTTTATGTCCCCAGTGTTTTGATTCAAACTAGTGTGGAATTTGAATGTATTCTATTACCTGTGCAACAAGGAGTTGACAGCTGTTGAGCTCCTTTTCATTAGCCTCCATCTTGCAGATGTTCTCCGTCAGGTTGATTTCCAGCTGTCTACTGCGGTTCACCAGAGATTTTACCTCGGACTTCATTTTACTAATGTAGAGACGAGCTGTGGTAAACTCTTCCTCCAACACACCACTCGTCTCCGTCATCTGAAGAGACAGAGCGATACTGACGTGAAACTGTCAGTCCGCACTTCATCCAGAGCTATATATGTCTTTGGAAACTTCACTGGATTTGTTTGGTTGGGAAGCTGACCAGCGGTTTACTTCATAGACATTTGCAAAACAAACAATTAGTTGAGAAAATAAGCATCAGTTTAGTTAATGCTTAAACATATGAAATCGGGTAAAGAACCTCCACTTTAGCATGTTTAGTAAGATTATTATTTAAGTAAGATTACTATACTTGCACGCAGTGGATGATTTATTACATTACATTACAATACATTTAATTTAGCTGACGCTGTTATCCAAAGCGACTTACGTTACATTTTTGACCCATGGCTTTTTACATTTTTGCCCAGAGAGCAATTAGGGGTTAAGTGTCTTGCTCAGGGACACTTTGATTTGGGACATGGGGCAGCCGGGACTCGAACCAGCAACCTTGCGGTTGCGCACCCTCTCTGCCTCTGCGCCACGACGACCCACATATATTTATATTATCCTTTAATTTCACATATTACAAAGAAAACATTGAATGTAAAATGAGTATGATTTCTGAACGGGTGGAAGAAGAGTTGTAGTCTTACGGCTTTGAGGTCAGTAGTTCCGAGAACGCTGCCAATATCACTGAGGTCTCTCAGCAGCAGACTGAGAATATCTGCTGACCTCTTCTTATGATGAGAACTGACCTCATTCAGGGTGGCCAGGTCCCTCTGAACTGCCTCCAGACTAACCTGAAACACAGGATTGTTAGGGTTAGCTCACTGGTAGAGGTGGTACCTTCTAAACAAAGTAAGCAACACCTCTCTCTGACCCCCTCCCCCTCCCACGCCTGACGTCTTTCCTTTCAACTAAAGACATTTAAGACAATTGAAAAGTAATAAAAGACCCTCCCACCCTAACCTATCTAACGAACCTATCAATCAACTGTCCAAACATCCTACCAATCTCACACACTACAGTCCTACTATCCTACCCTTACATCTGAACATCCTACCACTCTCATACCCTAAAGTCCCATCATCCTACCCTTACTTCTGAACATGCTACCATTCTACCAATCTCACACCCTACCAGTTACCATAAAATGACCAGGCACCATAGCTTATTCATGTGAACTCACAGTTTTGCGTACTAGCTCCTCATTCAGCTGATCATTGCAGCGGTTCTTGTTCTCCACTTCTTGGCTCTTGTGGTCGTAGTTGACGGCAAGCTCCTCCAGCGCCTGCAACACCTCCTTTACCTCCTCTTTGGCCGAGTCACATTCCCTGTGCAGCCGGGACAGTTCCTCCTGCACACGCTCATATTCCTGGCGGCTCAACACCAACATCTGAACGGATTATGAAGAGGTACATTGATGCATTTATTCCCAAACTGCTCAGGGCAGCAAAGAGGCAGAGAGAGAGGGAACTTTAATATTAGAAGTAAATTTACTTGAAATATTCTTACAAAATGTAATAAAACTGGTATGTGGATGAGTTTAGTGATATGTTATTTATTTTAGAAATACATTTTATATTATAATGCAATTAACAACAACCCCTGTAGAGCGCACACTGAGGGCCCTGTCGGGTCTCTTAAAGGGGGCCGTGCCAGGAAAGGTTTCAGAACCACTGCACTAATGGTGTTATGGGTCAGCTGCCGTTTCTCCCCATCCTGTGTGTCTGTCTGTGCTGGCCTTTTGTGGCCATTCATCCTGCTCAGTTCCCACACAGCTGATCCACATTCCACGATTCACCCCTGCAGTATTTAGACCCGGGGCTGTTCACCTCTCTAGGGCCAGATCGTTACACACCCCTACTGGTAACTTGGCTCTGTATCCTGGCTCGCCAAACTCTGATTGTTCCTGTGGTTCTCTCTGTCTAACCCTGGTTCCTCTGTGCAGATCCCGCTGTCCCCGTTCCTACCTGCCGTACCGCCTGCCTCATGACGCTCCGACATCCCCACCTGCATCACCGGGATTCCCCTGTGGAGCTCGGGCCCCATTCCCACACACCCCGGGCTCAGGCTTGGCTATTCCCCTGCAGTTGAGTCTTTGCGCTCATTAAATTACATTTACTGATTGTCTGTGTCCTGTGTGGAATCTGTGTGCTGCGTCGTATACACAGTCCTAACAGATGGATTGTTAGATGAAGCACTAAGGACATTTCAGACTCACCTCGTCCTGATCAATAAGCTGCTGTTTTAGTTCCTCTGCAGTCTGACTCTGATGGTTGATCTCATCATCCTAAAACACGAGTCAGCTGATTTTTAATCACAGAATAAAAAGGTCACAGACAGTAGGACAGGTAAGACAGCTTGTCCACTGGCTGATGTTACATTTAAGGCTCACCTTGGGGTTCAACTAGTTGTACGACTAAGAGTCATTTTTATAGTCTAGATGACAAGACAGGTTGGACTCACCTTGTCGTCCAGCTGGTGGTACAAGTCGCTGATAAGCGCCTCGTACTGCGTCTTCTGTTCGTCTGACAGTGGGAGAGGGGGTGGGGCCAAGCTGTCCATCACCACTGTTGTCTCACTGTTGCTCTTCTTGTTTCTGCTGCTTAGCTGCTCCTCCACAGGTACAGAATCCCCTAGGAGGTTAGGAGTCAGACAATATCCGTCCAATCACAGCTCAACATATAAATCTAAACACACATCTCATCTCCAGGCTGATGAACAGGGTCTGAAGCTGCATTCAGACCCCTCAGTCATTGCAGTGGGACCTGCAAACCTGCAGGTGAACCACACATCATACAGCAAAGTGCCACTTTGGCCAATTAAACTTATATACTTATATTATACTCATACTCAGCTAACAGTGGTGGTCGACGACACTCTAATTCTACTGTTTACCTTTCCTCCAGCGTTTCAGCTCGTTCTCTTGCTTCTGTATCATGATATTGAGGCTCCGGTTCTTCTCCTTCTCTTTCTCGTACTTCTTCTTCCACTCCTCGGCAGTCAGCTCCAGGTTCATAGACACTGTGTTCTTTATGGTTTTAGCTCTAAAACACAAAATCAGATTGCTGTTTGAACAATAACAGGTGGATGGATGTTTAGAGGCGTTGTGAGAGATGATGGAGATGAATGGTGAAGGGTAACTGTCATCAAGTACTAATACAAAAAGTCACGGAAAAGAAACTGATATCTGTTCTTCAGTGATGCCAGGGATCATTTAGTGAAGAATAAAAAACCCAACTATGCACGACGCTTCTAAGATGAACTAGATCACCATCCACATAGCTGGATAAGTGTATGCACTCTGCAGTTTCCACACATGCAGTGAACCCATGTTTCCTATGGTGTGTACTAGGTCACAAAAAATGCCAGAAACAAAAGGAAGTAGCATGCAATATAATGTTACCAACCAAAACTATCCTGTTGAACTGCAATTCGATGACTATATATTAAACTTCTAACAGATTCTGCTCATTTCAGTAAGATTTCAATAAAAGCAGGAGAAACAATTAACACACATCACAGTTAGATAGTGTGTCAAAAACACAAAATGTCTGGGAATCAATCTGCATGTAAAATAGTGCAGAGCATAAGGGGGGTTCAGCCTGTAGGGAGAGTGAATGTCCATAGTTTCAGATAATGACAGCTTCTCAATGAGACTCAATCTGGATATGTGGGTCCCTCAGCTGTGTTCCCGTACCTCTGTCCAAACATGAGGGTGGACTTGGTTTCAGCCTCATTGTACACAGAAGGAGAGCAGCAGATGATGATGGTGGTTCTACAGTTTCCTCCCAGAGAGTCCTGCAGAATCCGAGTCATCTTACTGTCTCTGTACGGGACGTGGGTTTTCTATAAAAAGGATGTGAGAAGAAGTGTCTGTGTGTATTTCATCTTTCTAACATTAGAAGCATTCTCAATGAGAACTCACGGTTCCTTCACTCAGAGCAGAGATCACGTTTCCCAGAGCTGAAAGAGACTTGTTGATGTTCTTGGCTTCGTCCAACACAGAACCTTCTGCTCCAGTTTTACTAACCTGAGCAAAAACACCATCGTCTTCATATTCATTATCACTGACACAGTGTCTAATCATTTCATCAACAATAGATATTCACATATCTGTGTTTGTTCTTGATTACGGAGTTACATATCTCATTAGATGTATTTAGCTCACCGCTGGATGTGTTTCATGTTAAGTATTAAATGTCAAAAGATCAATAAATACGTTTAACGTGTGATGGAGCACAATGACCTTCTCACTGCCGGCAAGATCAACCAAGTAAAGTTTCCCCGACAGTTTCAGCTCTGTCTCCATGTTTTCCTGCTTGATGTTGATCAGAAAAATACTGTGACTACGAGAGCTGTGCTCGTTCATGTCTGCAGGAGCAACCAAAAGAAACTACGTTATACATTTATTTAGGTACCAGGTGCACAACAGGAGCTTCTCAGATTGTCCGTAAAAGTGCTCAATTAATTACAGGTAGCAGGCTTTGTTGTAATGTTAATGTGTTGTTAATAATAGTAGCAGCAACTGTGGTAGTTATGGTTGTAGTAGTAATATTAGAGGTAGTAGTTGTAGTGGTAGAATTAGAGACTCACTAGTGACGGCGACATGTCTGTTTGCTTTTCCTTCGTCGATGACGTCCATCACTTCATCAGGACTAGAAACAAAGCGCTCTGTGCAGCCCTGAAGGGAAATACACAAAGTGTTGTGATTGTACTGATACTGCAGAACTCATATTGAAGTACTGATACTGTAATACTAATACTGTTAGAAACTGCATGCAATTTTCCCTCCTTCCCATAGGAAGCAAAAAAGTGGTGGGTCACTTCCCACACCATAAATAGAGGCCTAGTTGAACCCAACTTCCTGTTTGTATCATGACGTGTGGGCTGGATTCGAATTGTCAAATTTGCTTAGAAAGGTTCCTAACGGAGTGAAATTACCCGGAAGTAGTGTAAGTGGCTGCCATGATAAGAGCGGTTTGAATTCTGTAATGCTAAGCAAAGGCGCTTCAATGCCCTCCTACTTAGCCCCTTAGAATACGAATCACTGGACCATCCTTTACGAAAGAAAAGGAGTTAATTCCGTCCCACAATTTCTTGGGGTGGCCATAGTGACATATTATTCGTCCGTTTTAGAATTATCTATCATGACCGAGAAATGTAAATAGATCATGAGTAACTGTTGGCATGAGTAACTGTTGGCATAACTAACTAACATAACTAAATAAAGTTTTTTTGAAAAATCTCTCACTCGTCTCTTTCTAGAATAAATCTCATTAATGAGACCACTAATTCAGGTTCTTCCCTGGAGTTTTGGTGCTTTCTCGCCCCGTTCCGTAGATTGTAGTCCCGTCTGGACCCGGCCCTGCTGATACCTACCGCTTCTAAATTTGTAATTTGCGATTTGGGGTTATGTAAATGAGTGGAATTGCAACGAGTGAAATTGTAGTTTTGCTGCTGCACAATGACGTCACTAACATCCGTTCGCCGTCGCATCATAACTACATAGCTTAGTGAAAGTGGAGTCCGATAACTCTTTCCTAACTAATCACCTCAGTAAAATGGTTTGGTAAAAAAAATGGCAAATTGAATGAAACCTTGTTTCCTGTTGGTTTTGTGGCTCCAGTCGAACATTAAATCATTAATTGTTGTGACATGTGACTGCCATAGTAGTCAGGGCTCATATTGTAGTACTGGTACTGTAGAGCTCATACTGTAGTACTAATACTGTAGTTGCAACAACATCGCTTAAGTATTAAAGAATAGATACCTTCACAAAGGGAACCCTGTTTTTGTCCTCGTGAACTGACAGGTTTGTCTTTGACACTGAAACATGAATCACATCAATGATTATCACCATCAAGTGTTTGTGTAAATATATAGATCGTTAAATATTATCGTTACCGTCCAGCAAGTCTCTGATTTTATCCAGATATATTTCGAAATAAGAGACCTGCACAGAAGACAGACATGTTTCATTATGTAGGAATACATATTCATAATATAATATATTTACAATATCATATTTATCATGATTTCCACAAGCTTAAGAGAATATCCGCAATAATATCTGTCATTTTTAACAACAGAAAACATTGATCAAAACGCACTGTCTATTATTAGTCTTCATTTTAATGACTGAATTTAATATATATAAATATATATATATCATTTTCAGGAAAATGGCCAAACTTAATTTTCACCAAACATCTTTAACTCCATTAATTCTTACTCCATTAATTCCTAATTCTAAGGTTGTAAAAATGATTGATATTAGTATTAATGCCCTGACTGAGAGTATTGAGGTTATTGCTGTGTGGACACGAGCAGTTGGTGACCATTCATTTACTTAGACAGCAGACTGTCAGTGAAAGGCCTCACTAGCTTCTGATGCTGAGTCGCTGCACGGCAGCTGATCACAGATCAGATGTGACTTCTTACAGACAGATTATGGTGTAAATATTTAAATAACCAAACTAAGTGCAATATAAGAGAAAAGTAAACTAGGGAGTCCCTGAGGTCTAAAAAGACATTTTAAATATTTACCAAGTTAATTCAAGAGCTGAGACTGAAACATATTTATAATTTTGAACCATCTTACACTTGATTGATTTTACAGTGTTCATTTATGGTGATTATTTATTACTTATTTATTATATTCATTTTTAAGTTTACAACTGGACCAATATATATAATACACCATACAAATGTAAACAATAAAGAGTTGGTTTCATGTGACTGATGATGTGACTCACCTTAATGTGAAACTCCAGGTTTTCGTCCATGGAGTAGATGTGGTCAAAGATGTCTCTGGAGATACGAGGGATGATTCCCATCAAATGTGGGTCGTGCAGGATACCCTAAAATCATGTTTTCACATGAATGCAAATAACAGTATTTTAATGATATTAAAAATATTTAAACAGAAGACTTGATGAGTTTAGGGGTTCAAGTCAAGGTTATATACTGTAAATATAGGTATGTATGCAACAGTCAGATGACCTCCATGGTGTGTGTCTTTCCTGATGCCGTCTGACCGTAAGCAAAGATGGTTCCGTTATATCCTCCTAGCACATCTGCAACACAAACAGCATAGACATATTGGTATTTATATTTTCCTTCTTTATTTTTAATACATTTGAAAAAGATTCGATCAAGCTTTTTTCACTTTGTCCTTATGTGGAGGAAAAAAAAAATATTTAATCCATTTTGGAATAAGACTGTAGCATATTAAAATGTGGAAAAAGTGAAGCCCTCACAATACTTCCCGGATACACTGTATATATATATATATATATATATATATATATATATATATATATATATATATATATATATTCATCTTGTGTATAAATACAATCATGTACACATATATTATGGTAAGAATAAGTATAAAGGCTTGATAATCAGTTGAACTGACCATTAACAATTTGTCTGGCGCAGGTGTCGTAGACCTGAACCTGCTCAGTGTTTGGAGGAAGAACTCGGTCAAACACATACGGCTTCCCCTGAAACAAAGGAAACACACCGCCAAATTAAAAGCCTCTGTATGAACCAGGTTCTCCTGTAACAAATGAAACAATGAAAGCCTCTAGATGAAAAGAAAACCCTCTATCGAATTGTACTTAAGGCCTACAGAGAACTTAACTGCTCATAACACTGATGAAGTTGAATAAATAACAATGTTCTGTCATTATGAACTATCTAGGTATTAGTTATACAGAGACCTGATACTTTATAATACATATTATTAGAAGACATCTTTCTTTAACTGAATCACATCAGGATACGGGGAAGGCAGGACTCAAACGGAGAGTTTTGGGAAAACAAAAGACTTTAATAGTCCAAAAATCAAAAGGCCAAGGGGAAACACACAGGCGAGGATCAGGAACTCACAGGGTAGGCCATTCAACTGTTAACAATGACGCGACCAGGGACAAGAGACACACATGGCTTGAGGTGATTGGACACAGGTGGAAACAATCAGACAATCACAGGGGATGACAGGACAAGGCAGGAAGTGAAGTTACCCAGGGACACAAGAGGCAGAAAACTACAAAATAAGACAGGAAACAAACCCAAACCGTGACAAATCATGTTTGTTTTATTAGAGTTCCATTTTTAAGAACGGCAGATACCGCCTGATGGTGATTGGCTCACCAATAGGGGCCAAAGGAAAGGCCAAAATGAACGAGTTTAAGCCGCAACAGTAGGTGTTGGTAAAATGTATAGGCTCATTTTAAGTGCCTCATCGCTCTAATCAACCAGATAGTATTTCTTTAAATGTGTCTACTGGCAGTAGGCTTCAAGGAAAGGATCATCCAATGAGATCTTGCTGGCGAAAATAATTATCTCAACACTTTCATCATTACATTACATTACAGGTCATTTAGCTGACGCTTTTATCCAAAGCGACTTACATTATACTTTAAACCCATGGCTTTACATTTTGCCCAGGGAGCAATTAGGGGTTAGGTGTCTTGCTCAGGGACACTTCAGCTTGAGACATGGGGCAGCTGGGACTCAAACCAACAACCTTGCGGTTCCCAGCACACCCGCTCTACCCCCTGCACCACGACAACCCCATGTATCATATGTATGTGTATACATGCATGTGTAGATGACACTAGAACTAGGAGTTTTAGTATGTGTGTGTGTGAATCCTTGTATGAGCAGATCAGTATCTATGTATTATACATAATCAGAAATTTTATCAATTGAAGCAGTGAAACATGGAACATCCAGAAGTTAATTAAGCGTCAAATAAACAAAAAGAACTTTATCAAGAGCAGACATGCAGTGGCTTTCCAGATGTTCTCTGCATTGCCAAATCAACATTACCCTTTCCTAAAGTCTTTGTGCTTTCCCTCCCCACTTGCTTCTGTGGATGGTAGTTCTATCTCACGGCGGTTGTCCCTACAGTGGTCCTGCCGTACACCTGGCTTACTACTTGCAATTATTTGAATCATCTCTGTAATAGGAATTGAATATATTGTACATCTTTTACATTGTTCATTCTGTACACATGACATCCATTGTAGTCTGTCCATCCTGGGAGTGGGATACCTCCTCTGACGTTCTCCCTAAGGTTTCTTCCCTTTTTTCCCCATGGAAGGGTTTTTTCATTTTTTGGGGAGTTTTTCCTGTGCAGATATGAGGGTTTAGGGGCAGAGGATGTGGCATTTGTACAGACTGTAAAGCCCTCTGCGGCAAATTTGTAATTTGCGATTTTGGGCTGTACAAAAACAAAAATTAATTGAATTGCAAAACTGTACAGACATGTACGGTATGAGAGACTGTGTGAGAGACAGTTTGAGAGAGAGTGCGTGTGAGACAGTGTGAGTGACAGTCTGTGGGACAGTGTGTGACACAGTCTGTGAGACAGTCGATGCTCAGTTGCGGCCTGTGGTGTTCATCACGTAACGTTACGGCTCCAGAAGGTCTTCTTGTAAATAAATGATTCCTTGTCTTCAGCATTGACAGCGCTCGTACAGGAAGTGATGTCATAACGGATCTTTGTGATCTCGGAGAACTCTCTCTATAAAACGTGAATCTAACTGATATCGCTTCTTTATCAATGAGGAAGAGAGCTGCCTTTTTTCCGAGGGAGAGGCGAATTAATCCAGCTAGCTCACATGAGCCTGTGCCAGAGAAGGTTCAAGTTTTTGAATGTGTTGCCATGGTGATTTTGCCAAACTTGCTTGGGGGAACCGAAAAGCCTGATCATTGAAACCGTATCCTGAAAATGATCCGGCTAACTCGGTTAGCCACATACGAGGAACGGGGCCCAGGGTTTCTTAACCTTTTTGACCTTGGGGCCCAAGTTTTCAAGTTTGAAGTCGCCCGGGTTGACAGAAAGTTTGACAGCCTGTGTTGCAGTGTGATGCTGGCCTGTCCACTTGCGTCTAAGACCTGCTTCACCAGAGCACACTTAAATATTAGCACAGACCTCTCAGCCGCTCCGTTCGAGGCTGGATGATACGGTGGAACCAGCGTTTGTTTTATTATATTCTTGGCCAGAAACTGTTTGAAGTCTGAGGAGGCGAACTGAGGCCCATTATCCGACACAACCTCTTCCAGAAGACCATGTGCAGCAAAGAGGTTGCGCAACACCTCTATGGTTCGGCTTGATGTGGTGGAGGTCATGTGAAAAACCTCCAGCGATTTTGAATGGCTGTCCACCACCCCTAAGAAACATTGTCTGTCTTTCTCTGCAAAGTCCAGATGAATCCTCTGCCAGACTCTGACAGGCCACCGCCAGGGATGGAGCCGCGCTACAGCAGGCCCCTTTTGCACAGCTTGGCCCACTGCACAGTTGTGGACCATGTCCTCAATCTCACCGTCCAACCCGGGCCACCATAAATAGCTGCGGGCTAAGGCCTTCATTTTGCAGATGTCTGGGTGTTCATGGTGCAGGTCTTTAAGAATCCGTTGTCGGTGTATTTGAGGCACCACTACTCTGAGCCCCCACAAAACACAACCCTGGTCTGCGGACAGCTCATGTGTCCTGACAAAGTATGGTTTCAGGCTTTCATCGTTTGTGTACTTGGGCCATCCATTCATTCAATTCAATTCAATTCATTTTATTTTGTATAGCCCCAAATCGCAAATTACAAATTTGCCTCAGAGAGATTTACAGTCAAGTCAAGTCAAGTCATTTTATTTTGTATAGCCCAGAATCGCAAATTACAAATTTGCCTCAGAGGGCTTTACAGTCTGTACACATACAACATCCTCTGCCCCGAAACCCACCATCGGCACAGGAAAAACTCCCCAAAAAATGAAAAAACCCTTACAAGAGGGAAAAAAGGGAAGAAACCTTAGGGAGAACGTCAGAGGAGGGATCCCACTCCCGGGATGGACAGACTACAATGGATGCCATGTGTACAGAATGAACAATGTATAATACATGCAATTCCTATGACAGAAATGATTCAAGTAATTGTGAGTAGTAAGCCAGGCGCACAGCAGGACCACTGCAGGGGCAACCACCATCAGATAGAACCACCATCCACAGAATCCTGTGGGGAGGGAGAGCACAGAGATTTTAGGAGAGGGTAATGTCGGTTTATGAGTAAAGTAATATGATTAATATCTAAAATAATGATGATGATGGCAGCAGCAGGCGTCAGCATGGCCACGGTAGGTGTCAGGACCAGGGTCCCGAAGGAACCACAATCTACGGAGACCTGATATGGGCGAAAGCACAAAAAAACTCCCGGAAAGAAGCTGAATTAGTCATGTGCATTAATAAAACTTGAATTATGGTAGAACGAGAGCGTGAGAGAGGAGCTTGGTGTGTCCTAAGAAGTCCCCCGGCATTCTAAGCCTATAGCAGCTTAACTAAGGGCTGGTCCGGACTAACCTGAGCCAGCCCTAACTATAGGCAGAATCAAAGAGGAACGTTTTAAGTTTTACTTTAAAAGAGCTGACCGAATCTGCCCCCCGGACTGAAAGTGGAACCTGGTTCCCCAAAAGAGCTTGATAACTGAAGGCTCTGGCCCCCAGCCTACTTTTTAAAACCATAGGAACAACAAGTAACCCAGCATCTATGGACCGAGCTGCCTTGTAGGGCAATAAGGTGTTACAAGCTCTTTAAGATACGACGGTGCCTCACCAGCAAGTGCCTTGTAGGTGAGGAGAAGTACCTTAAAATCTATTCTTGATTTAACAGGGAGCCAATGCAGAGAAGTTAATACAGGAGTGATATGAACCCTTTTCTTAGTTCTTGTTAATACACGTGCTGCAGCATTCTGAATCAACTGGAGAGGCTTAAGAGATTTACAAGAGCAGCCCGATAACAAAGAATTACAGTAGTCCAGTCTAGAAGTGAAAAACTCATGAACTAATTTTTCTGCATTACTTTATTTTTGATATGTTACGTAGATGAAAATAGGCAGTCCTTGAAGTCTTCTTTATATGCGAGTTGAAGGTCATATCCTGGTCGAAGAGAACTCCCAGATTCCTGACGGTGCTGCTGGGTACCAGAGCAATTCCATCCATAAAAACTGTATCCCGTGACAGCTGGCTTCGAAGGCGCTCTGGGCCTATCAGGATAACTTCTGTTTTTTCTGAGTTTAGCATCAGGAAGTTGCCGGTCATCCAAGTTTTGATGTCTCCAAGACATTCTTGAAGTCTAACTAGCTGGTCCGTCTCTTCTGGCTTGATCGATAGATACAGTTGAGTATCGTCTGCATAACAATGGAAGTTTATGCGGTGTTTCCTGATAAGATCGCCCAAAGGAAGCATATAGAGGGTAAATAAAATCGGTCCAAGTACAGAACCTTGTGGGACTCCGTGACCAACATTGGTGGTCTTTGAGGATTCACCGTTTACAAGCACAAACTGGGATCGATCCGATAAGTAGGATTTAAACCAGCTGAGTGCAGTTCCTTTGATACCAATTAAATGTTCTAGTCTCTGCAACAGGATACAATGGTCTATGGTATCAAATGCGGCACTGAGGTCCAGCAAGACAAGAAAAGAGATGAGTCCTTGGTCCGATGCA